TGTTTCTTTGCCTTGTTACAGTTCTGAGCCCTCAAGAAGATTTGCAGACTGATCCTTCGATGGCGTAAGTCCCAACAGACTTGTCCCCCTAAAAAAACTAAGACTAGAATTTTACCAGGAAATTTTGCGGCAGGCCAGGTGGTGGCTCTTTTTGGAGCCACGGCGGAATCAAAACCCCTAAGTAAGCGGCAAGGTTTCTGAGATGTGTGTTTATTTTAGACTCTCAACGGCTTTGGACAAACTTTCCAAGATTCGTATGAAGCTTGACACCTTGCAACAACAATTGGAAGTGCAGTCGCAGGAGGTCTCAAGCTACTACAGTGCTCTCAAAGCAGTACGTCTACTTCCCGAGTTTTTAACAGGGAGGTTACTGTAGCTTTTTGCCTTCACAGGTAAGCATTCCGACGAATGAATATGTGGACGGTGTTGGACGGTGCGTTGTTTAGGCTGACCAAGTACACAGCTCCCTCCAGCAGACTGCTGCCGACTGCCGTGTTTGCTATGGAAGACGTCACACACAAATGCAAGAGGTCGAGAAGCGTCTCAGCGTCCTGACGGTAATTTTTTAACAACATATAGGGATTCATTGATGCTCGCTGCTAGTTGGGGCGTGTATGAAGCGTTTCCGTTCTGTCTGGCAGACGCATACATCTTGCAGCACTGCCTTCATTGTTGCTTTTGTAATTTAGGCCCAAGATCTCCATCCTTGTTCCGTGGACGAGCTTGAAGAGCTTGCGCAAGAATTGGAAGGAAGTGCGCAGTAGCTGAGCTTTCCCTTGATGAGAACTGCCAGTTGTGTCGTGTGGGCTTGCCCATTTCAGCTGAACCACGTAGCACTCAAGTATTTGAATTTTACTAGCTAGTCTTTGTCAAAATGCAATATGCGGCTTCTATATTCTTTGTTTGCGCATACTCAGCCCAATATAAGTTAACTGTTGTCCAAGCACAACGGGCAGGCGGTGCAGCAGAAGAAGGCCGCAAGAAGCCAAAACAACTTCTGCCTTACTCCTCCAGCTGCCTTCCAGAGCCCAAGTCTTCAGTGAGTATTCGCAGTTGTGGGTTTCCATGGACTCAGAAGGCGTTCTGCAGTGGGGTAGCACATATGCAAGCGGGGGGCGTGAAGCCTATTAACACGACATTTGCTTGTTTAAGTTGCTCCTCGGCTCCTTGTATCTAATACTCCGGGATTATCTTCACCAATCTCCGAAAAGAGTTGGCAACGTTAAGATATATATATGCATATATTATATATACATGTGTGTGCGTTGCGGGTTGGCTCGAACTCAGTTTGCCATTCCCGAGGAACCTGTTGCCAGAATTGGTCCTGATGAGTGCGTCGCCGTACAAGAGTCAGCATTGCAAGAGATCAAGGCTTTGGGTGATGACCTGGAGCACATTAAAACTGTGCACTGCGAGTACAAAAGGGCTTACAAAAGGTTGCAGGTGCGTTCTAATGTCTTTCCACTGCTCCAAACCGTTGCGCCTATGTAAGTATCTCAACCATATTGTCAGCGCGTAAATTTGTCTGTTTACTTTCGTTCATTTCAGGGCATCATGACCCAGCAAGTAAATGGATATGACGTGGACCTGCAAAAGCTAGTCGCTATCGAGAAAAACTTGGAAGAAAAACTGCGCAGGCTCCTGTTTCTCAACGGGGACGCGAACTATGCCGGTATGCTGCAGGAGCTTCCTTTATGGATGAAAAGGATTAGTGGTAGATGTCAATGCTTGAATACTCCGTTCAATTTACACATATTCTCTGGAGTATCTGTACAACAGGAGCTCGCCCCGTCTGATGTGTTTGTTGTGCATCTGGATGCAGAGCTGTCAGATGCGCAAATGCAAGAATATTTCCGCATCGTGAACTTGTCGATCCGCAAGGTCTACAGGGAGCTAGCTCTACGGGAATCAGGCGACCGTAGACGAAATGAGCCACGCACCAGCGGTGGGTGGCTTGAGTAGACGCGGCCGAATGCAGACTCAAATGATCCGTAAGAGCCCTACCTGCTCATCCAACATGCTGTTATCAGCTTGAAAGAGCAGCGGATCTCTGTACCGGAGTTTCTCCGTTCAAAACAAGACCGACTGCTTTCAACTGACATCGAATCTGCATGCAGGTGTCAAGAATACATGTTGCGTCTGTAATAGACAGTACTTGACCTCGCTACGGTGCGTGTGACGTGTAGGTCCACGAAGTAGGAATGACTGTGGACAGGCCAGAAATGACCAAAGTCGTCTGGACGCCTGGGACAATGAGCCCGCCGGAACACGTAAGCACAGTGGGGATACGACAGTTTCCAATTTTTCTCCCCAGGGGAACAACATAGAGAGGAGCCAGGCCCTTAGGCATAATTTCCAAGGCAATGCTGGCACCACGCGGAACCCAGTGCCTGTCCCATTTGTCGCTGGCAGTGCGGCTAGCAGCATTGCCACTCAGCGCATGCTGGTGCATGACTCACGTTTAACACCTCGGCAGACGTCAGCTGAACGTGGGATGCCGCTTGAAACATTTATCGGGCAGTAGTTGGCATTGCCCTGAATTTCATGCAACTGACTGGCGGCATGAACGCCTTCTGTGCAATACAACTTCATACAGCACCTTTTGAATGCGGAAGGGGCCGTATGAGAAGACGCATTATAGCCACTTCTCATACTTGCTCATGCATGACTTTGTAGGGCGCCTAGTGCGCCTTATTATTGTATTCATGCAATCATTTGGCAGTCGTAAAACAGGTAAACCTCATTTGTTTCTGCAACAAATGCCTTATCATTGGCCCGTCCTTAGTGTTGACCTGCAGTTGACTCGGAAGTGGATATGCTTGTGAAAGAACGTCCAAAAGCCACTCGCTAAAGAGCGCAAACTTATGTAGAAACTTATGTAGAGCGCCATTCACTTCAAACTGCAACTGCAACAACCCATGTGAGTGCGAGTAAGTCGCGAAGGCAACCTGTTAGGGTACGGTAGTCAGCATACTTCACTGCAGTAAAAGGTGAAAATCGATTTCTTGTCATCTGGACAAGAGCAGAATGCCGAACCGCTAGGCCCTCAGATGACAAACGAAAATACAATTGAAGGCAAACGCTGTGCACTCGGTGCAGAACGTGTCTGCGACACTCGCAAGAGTCACATGGCCGCCCTACCGAAAATGACGAATGCGTTTCGAAGACTCGAGGGCTTCCAATTCCAGTCGTTTTCTTAGTTCCTTAAGTTCTTTCATCTTCCTCTCCTTTTCCTCAGCTTTCCGCTCTTCTTGGGCAGCTCGAGTTGCTTCTTGCTGCTGCTTCGTCTCCTCTTCGTCTGCCGACCACCGCCAGATCGTAGACTGCTCCTCTGCTATTCGGCTCATTGTCCAGTCGCCATCTACCCATTCCTTAGGCAGCAATGGGAGAGCAGTTTCCAACTCTCTGACAACTGCATTTCGTTGCTTTTGCAGCAGACGCACTTGCCAGTCAAAAAGGTCCGAAGGGATCAGTGCTCCTTGCAGATCAGGTGACGAAGCAGTCAGTACAGTACGCAGCGCTCTCGTGAAATCCTCGTTGTTTCGTGAAGTCATTGGTTGTCTTCCTTCGTTAGAATTCTGGCGTCCATGACCTAAAAAATGAGCTTGTTGTTGATGGGCAGACGCTGCATTGTTCCCTGCTGAAACTGATCTGAAGATATCCCACGAGTCAATGAAGAACTTCTGGTACATTTCCGAATCCTTGAGGTGAAACTTTTCAGCCGTCCAAGTACAATTTCTCGCAATTAATTCGGACAAATGCTCAACAAAAGTAATTGAAGTCTCCAAGTCTTTCTGCAAAACCCCCTTCTCGTAGTTATGAATGTATCTTGCAGCTGCGAAGAATACATTCGGCGAGTGCAGCGCTCCACTATCATTTCGTTCTGCCCCTTCAGTCCCATCGCTCTGGCCCAAAGCTAGCGCATCGCAAAAAGAAAGAACAGGCCCCCCGCTCAATTTCTTTGGGAAGTCAAGCGGATTTCGCGGCACAGTGTTAGAAGAAGCCAGCCTCCAAAAGTACACGCGTTGTGCGTCCGTGTGCCCTGCTATCTCTACCAGTGAGTCCCGCGGAAACACATGAAAGTCAAAGATACGGAAACCGACGATGTGTCGGACTGGGCCGCCACACAGAAGCCATCCTACGAACTTGTCCACCATATGGCTGTGCTGCTGCTTCATCCGGTTCTGTTGAGCAAGCTCTGCTGAACTGGCTTCAGCCTGAAATGCTTCTTCCTGCTTAACCTTGAGGAGGTCTACCAGTCGCCTGCGTGTACGCAACAGGGGCTTTATATATGTGGAGACGAACGCTAGGCTTGACGGAGTAAGCAATAGCCGACTTTCGAGCTTTAGTTTTGCAAGGGAAGCATGTTCGTCCTCTAGTAGGGGCACCAATTGGTCCGGAAAACAGCGGCTCATCACGCAAGACCAGTTATTACACGGGCTCTCTGGTGTCGCAACTTGTGTGCCATTCACGTTGCACGTTTTGCACTCCGCCTTTCTATTGGATATTTTCGTGGTGTTTATCACCCACATCTCACGCTCTCTTGCAAGATCAGTGTCTTTCTGGATCTCCACCGCCTGATCAGGTCTTAGTATCTCAGCTTCTTGCAACCACGCAAGGAGAGTGTTCTCCAGTGTGGTTCCAGTTCCGAAGTTTCCTTGAAAAGACGATGCCCTGTCCGGCGCATATCGCCCCACATTAATGTGTCTAGATGGAAGGCCTGACTCTGTCACTGTCCTTGTAGATGTAGCAAGCTCTTCCAGCAAATATTTGAAGGCTAACTTCGCCCACGGAGGGCCTTCAGCAAGTGGACGCCCCCTGGAAACTACTTGCAAGTCCCCTGCAAGCCCCAGCGGCACTCTGCAACAACTGTTGGCGCATTGAAGTAGCAGTTTTCCTGCATAGTCCGGTAAAACACTTGCTGACAAACTCTTCCAGGTTGTCAGTCGTTGCATTTCAGAGAGCGATGGATGTTGAGGGAAATGCCTAAGTATCAACAAGGAAACGGGCAAACCCCACATGCAAGGTTTGGCCCCTTCAGGAAGTTCGGCTGTTTTCGATGGTCGAGGGGAATGCAGAAACGTCAGTGACTCTCTTATAGCCATAGCCAAGAAATCTGAATGCTCGGATATTTGAACGTTCATCTTTGGTGTCTGCTCTCGGTGGCTGTTGGCCTCCATCGCCAAGACCCGAGACTGGGATATCCGGGTACAGCATCGGGCGCGTAGAGCCGTAGTTCTTCCAGGAGTGTCCATTTCTGCTCCGTGCAAGTCGAAAATGAGTATAGGAGATAACGAAGCATGTATGCCGCCTTCAGCGTGTCCTTGTTGGTGCTTTGCACGGTCCAGTTTCTCCCAGCACGGCGCGCCTCTGTCATCAGCAGGCGTAGAATGATTCTGGGTACTCAGATTTGGTTGTTCGCCTCTACCGTGTGGCTTCCTCGCCCGTGAGCGGAGATACGCAGTAGCTGTTGTGGCTCCCATACGTTGTTTGTGCTGCAGTCGGCTCTTGGGGCGCAGTAGTTGCTCCAAAATCCTGTCTAGGCACGCACCAACAGCCGATGGCCGAGATTGAAATCTGTCATCTGGATCATTCGCGCTGTCAGAGGAAACACTATAGTCATCACTGTCACTGGCTTGATTTTCATCGTCTCCAAAATTTGTTTCCGCCCATTTCGGGGTATCCGTGCTGCACTTGTCATTGAATTGAATGTCCTGCTGCTTGAAGACGTCACTCATCACAGATCTGGCATCATTCAACAGTGATATATCTGCATCTTTCCACAGGAAACGAGGAACCAATCCAAACTCGCGGAACCCTCCGAACGATACCACAGCGTAACACACAGCGCCCCGCAAACATAACGGACAGCAATCAGCCCTTGTTGAGTCATTATACGTGTGGGAAGGCCCCCTTGCACCGTCGCCAGACGAATAAACAACGCGGCCTTTGGCTGAACTGCTCTGTCCTTCCTCCTTCAGATCGGGATTACAGGGGCAGCACTTGCAGCAATAGCACAAACAGCGTTTCGACAAAAACATACACACAACAGGCGCTAACAAAAAAAGAAGTAACTCCTCTAGATGCGGCAAGGGTGGCAGCAAGGAGGCAGCACTAACGTCTGAACCTCCGCTGGCAAGGCCGGCTGACGTATCCCATTCGCTCAAACCGAGCAGTAAGAATTCCCGTGAGTAGCCTTCAGACAAAAAGCAGAAGTGAAAAATACAGGAAATGCACTGGTGTGTAGTCTACCGCATAGCTCACACAATGGCAGTGCAACACTGTGACATTCTAAGCGAAGTAGCAAACACAGACTGTATTGTGTAGAGAACGTAGTGGCATTTGCCTTACTTCCAGGGTAAAATGGTCCATTGCTGTGAAGAATCGATTGCTCCGATATGCGGCAAACACGGGCTGTACTCGGGCGGCAGTGTTGCCTCCTGCGCCTCCTTCCATCTTCATCTAAGGCTAAAAATGACTTAAAGAAGCGATGCGACACGCTGAAGACAGGTTCCCTGTCTGAAGAGTAAAAGTCATCTTCATCACCAGCACATCTCTGTGACACTTCGTTGCTACCAGCTATACACGAATGAAGAGAATGGCAGCATGCCCTGCTCTCCTCCCCTCGACGTAGTGATTCACCGTGGTGGCAATGCCGGACCCCAGGACCAGCCTCCGCCTTTACCGAATACAAGCGAGATGTAGAGTCCTTCATATTTAGATAAGAAGGTTTACTCGCATTAGATGAGTCCTTTACAGTGTCCTTCCAGTCCGTTCCAGCCTCCATTTGGAACAGTTTGCCAGAAGAAGGATTTTCAGTAGTGACTGGACGCGCTGGACCTTCCTTCGGTCGCTGCAGCTTCGACCTGCTTTCTAAAAGCAGCTCGGCCTCATCAAATTCCGCCTGTTGTATGTCCAGCAGTCTGTTCGCCGCTGAAGTTGCCAATGATATGATGTCTTCCAGAAAGCTTGTGCTTACAAAGCCGCCCCCTGCAGCGCGTTGGGCTCCCTCAGCTGCTTCCAACAGCTGTTCCTCTATTTGCTCCTCCTCTACTGACGACTCATGTGGTACTGTAGACGGAGATTGGATATCCGCCACGTTCGACCCAATGCCAACACGCGGCGTAGGGCTCTGTGGATCGGCAAAAGGTAGCATGGACGCCCACAAAGGTTGGCTGATGCATTCCAGTTCAGGACCCCTCAACTCTCCCTGCCTTTTGCCAGTTGCCCTCATATTGATCCCATCTGTAGCTCTGTGAATCCACTGCAGCAGTGCTCTGCGGTGACTGTCCCCAAAGATAAGTAGCTGAATCCTTTTGGAGTTGGGTTGTGCATGCACAAGACCACAACATCGCCAGTAGGCGCTAACAATCTGTGTCGCCTTTGAAGCTGCTTTCAGAAGCCTGCCTACATCTTTAGTCGGCTCTACAGCTGAATCTCCAGATGTCGTGGACCGTAATCGTTCCAGTGCAGTTGCAGCTGAAGCTGCTAGACTGTCAACCGCTTCTTCCACAAGGGACGCCCACACAGATGCAGTGGGCATGTGGCCTTGCTTCTGTTCCTCCAAATGGCGAAGCAGCCCACGGCCCTTTGCCCTCTTGGAGTCACCACGAGCCTGCTGCTGTCGTGCCTGTACCTGCTTACTGCTATAGAACTCCTTCACAGCTTCTGCGACTCCCTGTATGTCCGTCGGGAGGAGTGCACGGCAGCCGCTGCTAAGCAGAGGGCCAAGCAACTCCTGCACTCTGATAAGAGGCCCAAGGGGTGCCCCAGGGAGAATCCCTTTGAAGCCAAAATCCCAACCTTCACAAAGTAGCAAGTCTGAGAGAGGTACAAAGTTCTTGACACTAAGAGAAAAGAATTGCAGGGGCCCCAGACAGCTGGCAAGCCTTCCGGTGAATGACGGATGCATGAATATTGCCGTAAGCTCCTCTCTAGCCCTATCCATCATGTCTATCTCCGATCGAGCAATCGGCCAATTTCCCTGTTGCTCACATAGCAGCTGACGCAACGCGCGTGGTCTCTCCAACAACGCGGTGTACATCAATTGAAGCAACCGTCGCGTCGTTCGGGTTTGAGCGGCGAAGAGGATTAGACGGCAAATAAACCCTTCAAGATTCCTCATGGCTTGTAACCATTCAGACGATGAGACTGTATCATTGCTTTTCCCCACCGATGGGAAGTCGGGCATAGGATCACTTCTTGCTCCAGAGTATGCAGCAAACCTCGTGAGCCCCGAGCTTTGAGACTGCGCAGCACACCACGCCCTAACCTGCGAATCTTCGAGGAGTCCAGATGTTTCAAGTCGTGAGCAAAAGTCTTCGAACTCCGCAGAAAGTTTTGCATGGGACAACCTCTGGCGGTTAACCCACGTCCTGAAAGAGTTGTACAGAAGAACACCTGCACCACGTCCGGCATCCCCCGAAGGGTGTCGAGCATACGCCGAATCAGAGAAAAGCGCTAAAGGATCGGTCTCTCTCAGCAATATTACGGCCAGCCTTAGAAGGACGACCGTGCTACAACTGCTGCGCAGAATTAGCCCCATCTCTCCAAAGAAAAGCTGCTGGGACCAACGCTGCTTGTTCAACTCAGTTTCATTGCCTAATTTAGAGTTAGCCTCACTTTCCAGGTGACCCTGACGGAGTGAAGGTACTTCAGAATAATCCTCCGGAAACGTGATAGAACACACGCAGCCTACTACAGAATCGTCGATACAGTGCTCCCCAGAACCCTGAGAATATCTGCACTGCAGCCGTTTCCTCGAGGAACCGTCTAGCGCCCCCTTAGATGAGAAGCTGGTTGGCGATCCGCGCGCCTCCGACTGAAAACGCCACGAGCTCGTGGAAGCTTCCCAGCAGCTTTGTTTCGCCGCTTCGACCAATGCGTCGCAACACCGTAAATCCGGCCTCTCCCGGAACGACTCATGGCACAAAATATTAAATGCAAAATGAGATTTCGGCTGTTGACCCAAGTTAAATGGGGTCTGCATTAAGCTATCCCGGACTCGGCTAAATCCGAATGGCATACACGCAGAGGCAAGGACTAGTTGCAGACGCCAAACAAGCCCTTCGATACCCCTTCCCCAAAAATTCTTCGAAGTGAATTCGTTGGATGGCGATGCCATGCTAAAAGAGGGTGGCATCGCTCTGCAGGATTCTGCAGATCTCAAAATGCCAACACGGGCTAGTTTGCGTGAGATGGCTTGGTGCTGGGAAGCCACATCAGCAACCCCCTGAATAGATACTCCGCTCAACGCGAGAAATCGCCTCAATTGCCTCATCTCTTTCACTGAGTACGGATGCCTACAGTTCCTCGGTGGCACTGTGTCTCCCTGATGCAGCTTTTCAGCACTCGCCGTCATATGACTTTGAAGTTGGTAAAGGCGGTTGCCATGTACTTCGTGCAGGTGTAACATTGCCATAACATCAACACATATGTCGCATGGAATGAATTCACCCCATATGAAGCTGCTTGCGTCGTCCGATCCAGTGCATGGTGGCTCTTGCAGCCAGGGGGCCTGCTCACAGTCGTCGATCTTCTTGGTGAGGCATTCACCTGGTTCGCATTTTGACCGGTGTTGTACTTGCATCCTCTGAGCTGCCTCAGGAAACAGACTGTTCCTTAGGCGGCCAGCAAAAGCAAGCCTTGCTGAGCGAGCCACCATCCACCGTAACAGTTCTACATCAGAAAGTTTGGACGTTTTAACTCCTCTGGCTGCAGCACACACTGACCGCAAGCAAATCTCGTCCATAATACCTCACATATCGCATCATGGGAACGTGCAATTCTTGGTTAACCTTGTTGTGGGAACAATCTGTTGGGTGGGGAAATTCATCATCTCACGCTGGCACTCAAAAACGGTCTGCCGGTCGCTGAGAAGAAGAGATGCAGCCCACAAGCCTGCTGGAAAAACTCCATACGCTCTGGAAAGAAGAATGATTCGAGCAACCTTCACGGGCAAGGCAAGAAGGCAGGCCAAGTGGCCAAGGGGCGTCATCTGCGTAAATAAAGAGGATTGAGATCGCAGGTTGAGAGCGCCTGCATAGGCAAAGTAACACAAACTCAACTCCCCCTGTGGGGTTAATGTTGCCACTCCTCTGTACGGCTGCCTTGACTGTCCTTCAAATGCAACAAGGCCGGCGCTTCATGCCGGTGGTATACTGAGAGTTACGGAGACTATATATGCTGCTGACCCGATGCTTCCATGCTGCATAGAGCTTCGTACACTCTGCCAACATCTGGAGGGTCTTGAGCTTGAGAAAGGAAAAAGAGTGAAGCGTCAGTGCTCTCGCCTGGGAGAGCTGCCATGACGTCCGCAAGTACCTGAAGCGCACCATGTGCTGGCGAAGTGGGCAAGGCAGTAGAAACAAATTGACGAGCAGAACCATCAGCTAAAACATCAAAGAGGGTCCAGCACCCTGCAGAAAGGTTTCCTTACGTCCTCCAAAGGAAGCCGCTGGAGCTCAGGCAAGGGAAATGGCTCAAGGGACATAAATAGTTCTCGTGGTATCAGGCATACGTACGCCCCCTCTCTGACGCGCCCTGTAGCACCAACAACTTGCATTTGGCTGTCTGTATCTGCCCTCAAGAATTCGTAAACATTCATTAGGCGGCCAACAGCGCTACCCTTCAGGCAGCTCGCCCCGCCGTGCCAAGAGACTATTTCTGCTGCTTGGCAGGGAAAGTGTTATTAAGGCAATAAACAGGAGCTCGCGGTGCTGGCAAGTATCGTGAACTGTGCTTACCCGTTCTTCCCTTGCGCTGGTCCAGCGCAGCGCGGCTCGCCCACCGTAGCTGTAAACGGTGGGCTTTCGTGACGGCATGCACATGCTTCTCCTGCAATGGAAACATTTTTGCAGTTCATCACACGGCGCACTATAGCTTGTGACATTAGGATCGGCTCAGAGCGCCGGACCGTCGGAGCTGAGCATTTATTAGCACTACATCATCAGACGCTAGAAGCTGCATAGGGCGCGCTGCTCAGACCCACCTTGACAAGTGCGAAGTCTATGACAATGCAAACGTCTACAAAAGTAATGCTGCTTTCCGCAATGTTGGTCGCTAGAATAATCTTCATACACGTAGAACGTGGAGCATGTTGTTTAGCGTGCTTCAATTCGTCCGTCTCAGCATCACGATGGATTCGCAAGATCTGCAGATCGACTCTCAACTGCACTGGCCCTTCACTTTCTCGAATGATGTCAGTTCTACTGCACCCGTGTGGATCATCCCGAACACTGCTTAGAGCCACCGAAGCCTCGGCTTTTGCTTGGTCCAATGCTTGCTCCATGCGTGAGATCTCCGGCTTTCCTGCACAGCCAACAGCGACCTCAAACTTCCCTTAACTAGGCAACATCTTCCAGAGTATTCCCCAAATAAGGCCAGAAAAATTAACGCGTGTAACGACGGTGCGCTTCCGCTCAATTTGTAGCTGCTCGCCATTCAAGGAGTCGCCGAACTTACCAGGAAGGAACACGAGGACGCCCGGCTGGGGCACGTTTCGGAGTAAGCACTGAACGTGTATCAGCAGTAATAGACGTGCCGCACTCTCGACACACCAGTAGTTTAGTCTGGGCTTTTCAAAGCAGAATTCGTCCCCCCGGGAAGGCACTTCACCTTCCTCGTCCAAGTCGGTGCCAGCGTCACCGTCGCAAGGAGAGTCGTGGTGGAATGTGCTTCTCCTGCTGAGACTGGTTAGCGCCTTCCGTTCATCCGTGGCGCCTTGCTGTGCCACCGTAGATAATATTCCACCGCTATCAGGATCTATGCCCATATAGCGCAGTAGTGTTGGGCTTGCAATGTCCAGAAGGTCTGCAGCTGTGGCGGTCATGCTGAAGCGTGCCAAGTCCACAATGTCGTCCCAAAATAGCTCCTCTACCGGAAAGTTGGTGTGTCTCGCCACTTCCACGCAGTTCCCTCTGGCGCGCGCTGTGCCCGAAATCTGCCTCCAATGTTGTCTCTTGCAAGAGGCCCTTGATGGCATCGAAAGGTGCTGCTCTTGGAACACAGCCGCCAAATCCTTGGATCGGCGGGTCCTCCACAAGCAAGCAAGCTCGTTCAAGGGAGTCACCAAACTCCTAGCCCACCTAATAAGACGCTCCCGCTCCCTTATCTCATATAGTTGCTTCTCCGCAGCTGTCAGGCCCGCTGGCGCCTTAGGGGAGGCTGAATGGGCGGCATTTAGGCGTGCAACCTGAAGTGCCCCTTTCACTCGCAGAAGGCATGTTTTTTCCATCCACGCTGCGTGTTCCGCCTGAAAGATGTTCAGCCTCTCCCCCGCAAGGAAGGTGGAAAAATCGTTGGCGCTGATGGTTGCAGACATAACGACTATTCGAAACGCAGGTAGCTCCATTTGAGCACGAACAGCGGCCACGGTCATCCTCACAGCAAGACACTTAAGCAGCAACAATGCCATGTCGCAGTCTATAGTGCGTTCATGCACTTCGTCAACTAATACGAAATCATACGGGAAAATTGACCTCAACTTATGGCCTGAGACCACCTCCTCATTGGTTGAGCCCCCGCTGCAGGATGTCTGCCCAATCATATGCAGCTGACGGAGAGCACCAGTAACATACTTACGCAGCATGCCGGCGGTCACGAACAGTAAGCGAGTTTCATCCGATTTGCATGCCTCTTCGTGCCCCACATGGTAGCCAACTGTTTGTCCTGAACACACGGCATAGTTGTAGAAGGCGTCTTACAGCCTGTACGCAGACCATGGTGCCCTTAAGCATGGATAGGAGGTTGTTGGCTCGCTATATGCGCGCAGCTCTTCTGCCTTGCGCATACCGAGTCTATCGTCGCCGAGGAGCTGCCTGAGGCGCTCAGCAGCCATCTGCGTCGCAATGCGCCGAGGCAACGCTATCAGAAGTCGTGCGTTCTTATGCTGTAGTAAGAGAAGCAACGGTACGATTGTTGTCTTTCCGCATCCCGTTGACCCTGTTGAAGGACAAGACATCGATACCGACTAAGCGGTAGAAATTATCCTATAACAACGGATAAGAACACTGAGTAGATCGGCAGTGGCACAACGATATCACTGGTATAGCTGTGCAATGACAACGCAAGCAATTTATCCCTACCGGTGATAACTGTAACAAGATTAGATCGGATTATTTCGAGCAGTTCTGCCCCTATCCGAAGTGCCGGAAGAGCCAAGTCCGACGAGACTGCGACCTCCACTGAGTCTGTGAGGCGTATTGGTGGAAACTGCAGCCAAGGCATGCACAATGGCAGCGCAGGGCAAATGCTGCGTACAAACCCCGCAAAAGCCCCCGGGGCTAACAAGCGGTTTCTCAAGTACCCGGAGCTCTTTAGAGAGATTATAAGTATGCTGACTCACCTGCATGCCGAAAAGGTGCCTGAAATCGAAAGGGACGTCAAGAGGCAGGGCTAGGCGTTCCGGATGGCCACCTAGCTGTCTTCGCCAAGTGGGCACCCATGGGAAGTGCCCTGCTGGGCCCGTCATATCGGGTGCAGAAACACAATCTGTTGGAGAACGCCTCATATTTACTTCGTAGGCTACGCCCCTGCCGCTGCTTATTATTGTCTCTCCATGCCGCCGACCAGCAGGTAAGTAGCCCGTAAGTGACCCCAGACACAGGTATTTCTCCCCTGGGAAAACTTAAAAAGCTGGCCCTCAGATAGTACATGAGATTAAAGCATATTTAAAGCATATTTGATGAGGTGTTAGGGATTTAAAACCGGCGGAAGGGAACCGGCACACGTCGTAGGCCTATGGTCCGGTGAGGAGGCTAAACAAGCGGTGAGGAATTAAATTGTCTACGGCGCGCTACGACGAGGAAACCGCACGTCATGTTTCTTGCTAAGGAAGAAGTTGGTCCCAATATCCCGTGCCGAACAGCACGAGTTCGTCATGTACTGAAATAACACGGGGCTATTATCTTGCATGCTTGGGCATTGTATCGGAGTAAGGAGGCTCTTCTGCCCCCTGATTAAGCCAGTCGTAAGCTATTTTAGATGTCCCATCCATAGGAGGGGAGTAAATTTATGGAAAAGAAAGAAGTAATATGCCACTGCTCGGAGGGCCATCATCAGGACCACTGCCCACTGCCGGATCGATGCTGAATGTGGCTTCTCGTGTCCAGCCTTGACGACGCCCAATGTCTCGTACTGTAGAACCCTAAAAAGAATGAAAAGTGTGCAGTGATCACTTAGAGGCACAAGACAATCCTGTGTATGTGTGTTATCCACCTTCCCACTGCCTGCTTAACCTCCTTGTTGGGTGGAGTTGTCAGTGACTGTTCGGAACCTGGCGACGGCAGAGCTATCCGCTTTTTTAATGCTTTGGTAGGCAATGCCACGGTTTTTAACTTCGGAGCAGGCTGCACCAGAACTCATCCAGCGCCCACCGGCCCCTTGCATCCTCTCGTGAGAATGCAACGGGCCGGTGCGCGCTGGATGAGTTGGACTCTGGTCCTGGGGAGTTGGTGTCTCTCTATCTGTTTGTGAGTCTCCAAAAGTACCTCATCCTAGCAATCAGCGACTAGATGTAAGGTTGTCGCTTTTCACGGCGAATGCTGGTGAGACGCAGTCCCCATACGTCCTATACTGGGTTTAAGACCGGTTCATCGTGCGTCGCATAGTATTCCAACTTGTTAGGGCAAATGGCAGCTTCCAGGTTGTCCAACTACGTGTGGCATGCTCGCTGGAGCCGTCAAAAGACAAAACATTGGTTCTGCCGAGCCAAACCACACCGTGGAACGAGCTACTTTCTTAAAGCGGAAACTATCTGGTGCGCTAGAATCCGCGGAAGGTTTCACTAGGGTTCCAGACTAGGACTCCAGAAGTTCTACCTGGTCAACTGCTGGGCACATGGGTCCATCGTCTTCTTGCCTATTCAGTGTTGAGCCGCAGAAGCTCTAGTGTGAGGCTTCACTGTTGCTGTCAGGGTTGATGAGCTTTGCAGCAATCAGACTATATGGCAGCGCAGTCTTCAATACATCCGCATCAGGGCACAGTTGGGCCCCCACACCTTCTAGAACAGACATTGCCACCACAATCTGCAATGCGCATCAGAAGGATGTTGGGAGGCCTCGTTCATTGGGTGCTCCGCGTATCCAGGCTTCCCGCATTCTGCGACGGGCAGGCAGTGTAACTTACGGAGACGAACGAAGGGTCTAACTCCACACAATACTTTTTCGACAGCGAGAGCATATGCCCCATCAGTGAAGTGAACCGAACATGACTCATCTGCAATGAGTTGCCTTCCTGATAAGTGACGATCCACAGCAGAGCAGGTAGCGATTTCCTGGAATGAGGACGAAAGAGTAGAGAGAGATGATATTGTCCCAATAGACCCTTCCAAGGGACCCACCTCAAAGTGATGCTCATCAATCAGTTGCTCAACCTCGGAGCAAAAGCCTTCTCTATCCTGGCAGGAGCTTCTCTTAGCTCTCTGAAGCATCGCTAAGGCTGTGTCATAGCCGCACATACACACACACTAGTATGGCGAGGAGCAAGTCTCAAGGGTATTGCTTCACGTAGGGGCATATCGGCCCCTGATTAACGTGTCCACATCTCTGGATGGCACAATAACATAGAAGAGATCCATGCCAAAGCGCAGAGGTCATTTTCTCTACCTTGATCCATTACACAGTTTTAGAGTGCAGCTTGACCTCTATGGCTCTGCCACTGCCAATCGGCAGACGGCGGTTTTGGGTGCGTGGATTTGAGTGTTCGCAAACCTGCCTCCCGTCCGCGTTTCCTTGTTATGGCTTCAAGGAGTGTGACAAAATTCACTCGGTCAGCTTGATCTAGTGAGCCAGCAAGACCACAGTCCAGTACAACCAGTTCTAACGGGCCTGAGGCGCGCATATTACATCAGTCCAAGATGCGTCCCAAAAGGAAATTACTATGTCCTTCTTGCAACCTTTTTAGTTACGCTCATGTTAGAGGGAAACAGAAAAGGCCTGGTCCATTAAATTTCAACCCCTCATCAAGTTGTCGAAAGCAGACAAAAGGCTGACCGTCAAGGCGTGGAGCTTCTGTGAGCAGCCGAGGTGGCAGGGTTGCAGGCAAGACGGGAAATATGAGCTGCATTGGCACAACACACTTCTCAAGACCCGCCTTAAAATACAGACTACCCCATCGCGCAATGCTATATTCTTGCAGAGAAAACTGCGCCCAAAAAGGGCAAAGGCGCCAATGTGCAGTACCTCTTTGTTTTTGTGTGCAAACCGGCATAGTAGGTTGCCACTGTGCATGTCGCCATGGAAAAAGTTGTCCAGGAACACCATTTGAAGGAACGAGTGAAGGCAGATCATTCCAACACTGCTGAAACGCTGAATTTTCGCATAACCAGGAAATAGCGCACATGCAGAACGCTATGAACGAGGAGCCTCCCAGCAACAGCCCCGGAGCAACATCGCTTCAGTTGGGAGTCCATACCTCTATCATCTTCTGCGCGGCGAGGATGGGAGACGCCACTGGAGTGTCAACCTGCTCCCGCCTAGTCGCTGCTAGGCCTCGATCTCCCTGAGGCTTCTCCTGGTCGCGCGAAGCCTCTTCTAGCTCCTGTAATTCGGCTCTGGTTTTAAATAGTTGGTTGAGAGTGAAACCGGACTCAAGAGTCATGACAATAACTTCGCTGCTGCTTAGAGCCTCGAAAGGGTAGGGAAACGTAACCTGACGGCGCATTCCAAGTATCTTCCGCGACAACGAATTGACTATATTGGTGTGATAGTTTGCTGCCTTCGGCTCCACCGTCGGAGTTTCGCACTGCCTGGGCCCGCTAGCCCGCCTGCACTTATTACGCAGCGGTAGCAGGTCGCCAGGGATAGGAACTGTTGAAAGCCCAAAATTTGAGCGGAAGAGCTTCAGATGTTTTTCTTCCAATCCAAAATCCAGCTGCCGACGCATTGCCACTGCAAACTCTTCAACGCTGCGAAGGACAAGCAAGCCACTAGCACTCAAGCCAGTTGTGCCATACCAAATCAGCAGATCCGCCCGCATCTTAACGGCCGGTATTCAGGCGTACTGGACGAGCACTGGGTATGCACTGCAGGAGAATAGATTGTTGCGTCGTTAGCAGCAGTTCGTTACTGCTTCTGAGATGTGTCCCCCACAAGCAGCTTAATATTGTAATCATCATTTCATCATCAAGAAATATCTCCAAAACGTGGAACACCCCTCACGCTCTACACGCGAATAGCTTCCGCCTTACCTTTTTTTCAATGCAACAAATCCAAATGCAGGCAGATACTGAAGTACCGAGGCGACAAGCAGCATCATCCGGAGGTCTGCAAAGTGGTCACACGAACGAAAGAGCCACCGAAAACTCAATTTTCTGATGATTGGACGTAGGATGTCATAGGGAGCAGCTGCGCCTTGCACTGCAGGCAGGAGGGCTTGCCACACCGAATTCCATCGCCTCTCGCACTCCAGGCCTCATGATCTTCACTGCGACGGCTACTGGGGGCAGCTTGTCCCCTCTGCCAATTTCTGCAGCTGCAGACTTCGACAAGCTGCCGCCTAGAACAAATGCGTGGTCGAGGAAAGTCCGTTTTGATTCTTCACTTGCTTCGTTAGACAACAGAAGGTATGCACGATAAACCTGGGCAATGCAGCCGCATCCGATTGGCCTAAATGCAGAAGGTAAAGTCAAGAGCTGCAGCGCTCCTTTTGCTCCCAAACATTTAGCACACATCAAGGACTCATACTTGCCAGCTTGAAAAACCCATGAATATCGGAAGACGCGCGCTGTTGAAGGCAACTGTGCGCAATGGGCGAAAGCTTACGTCGGGTCGAGCAGTAAGTGGCGCCCCACATCATCTCCAAACTGTTCGCGGAGGAGGAGAGCAGCTCGGGGGTAAGAGAATGGACGAACTGATGTCTGCAGTCTTTAACTCGCAGAGAACAACAAACCAAGCCCTAGAAAGTCCAAATTTGTGTAGACCTTCATGCGCATCACTGTGCCCAGCAGCCTTGTCGCCAACAACAGCAGGTTTACCTTGCACAGCGCGCGCAGAGGGATTCATGAAATAAGTCAGGCCGTGTAGCAATCCACTGCAAAACGAGCACAGAACAGCTGAACGTTTAGTCAGATGAAATACCAGTGCTAAACGAAGTCGCACGGGAGTCCAACACGGGTAAGGAGGTTGATGATTTGCTGAGCGCCAACTAAGCACGGAAATGTCATGCACCTGCAAAAATTTGACGTAGGTTGGCCCTGCAGCTGAAGCCGCCGCCGTGACTGCCGTAAAGATGACTTCTTCCAATTCACGTTGCGCAATAGCTTCCCAATTGCCCCCCAAACCCACCGTCCGCAAACAAGCTGAAATGTACGGCAACCCAAGCAGCCAGAATCCCGCAATGGCAGCAGTGATCCCTAAAGGCAGAACATATATTAGCCTCAGCAGGGCAGAACCCAAAGTTCGGAAGAATGACGCAAGTGCGTTGTACGTTGCCATCAACCACCCGCAACTCTTGTGGGCTTCATTTTCATTGTAAGCTGCATGGGCGTCAAATAGCGTCGGTTGCCCTGGGTGAAACTGGAGCCCAGACGAGCACTCTGCGGCTAAGCTCCCCACCAAAGCTTTTCGGTAGAACGCAGCACCGTGAGCCGTCCAGCTCCGTCTACCAGAAAAGATATTACATTCCCCATCCGTATCTTTTTCACGGACTGCCTGCTTCCCAGGTGACGGGCTTCCCTGCACAGCCTGCATTACAGCCTGCATGGTTTCTGATCCGCAACTGCCGCAGGCTTTTTCGTTTGACAGTCTAACCAATTCCCCTGCTTGGTTTACAGCAGAACCCACAATTTTGAGATGGTGCTGCAAAGCAAACCAGAGACGGTGAGCTGCATCTTTCGCCTGCAAATAGCCTCCGAAGACGCTGCGGTTTGCACATTCAAGCTGTTCCGCTACGCGAATGAAGTACTGCTGCAGCACTCCAAGTCCCCTACCTATCAGCATGGCTGCGTGGAGGGTTGTCCGCCCGGGATAAGCTGCCTTCCTTAAGCAATTCATGTCCTCATGCCCATAGTCAGTCGTCTTGTGATGAAAGGCAGCGCAGCCATCGCGAGTTTCAGCTGTACCCGAGTCGTTGGTGTTCTTGTCTTCGGCAGATGAATCTTTGTGTTCGCCCCACTGGAGGGGGAAGGCAAAGACAGCTGCAGCAGCGATTGTAAGGGCTGGTACGGGTTTTGCACCGGAACGGCGCTCGGTTCGAAAGTCACTATCTGACACAAAGCAGCCTAACATACGATGTGTAGGATCGTATGAGCTCGCATGCACTGCCGCACACGCTGTATGCGTTCCCAGCTGATGGAAAGTCCTCCACGGAGAAACCCCTCTCCCCTCTCCTGCTGGTAAAGTGCATTTCGAAGAAATGTGCTCCGTATCATAGCAGAACGGCGGCTGCACTGCTGCTGCATAATGAAAAGTCCGCCGTCCCATCTGAAGCTTAGACTCCACGGCACATATTCTAAAAAGGGTTTTCGCTTGGTTACAGGTCCCTAGGATGTGGAAAAAGCTACAATCTGCCTCTCCACGCAGTGGTACCTCGCCGACGTATCCGGACTTTAAACACTCGTGGCGGAAGTGGCGAGTGAGTTGATCTGCTGCTTTCTCATGGCACACTGTGGTGGCGCGTGTATAGTTCTGTTGCCATGATGGTGTATGTTCAGCAGAGTTGAGTTCGGAGTCCCTCCGGGTTGCGCTAGTTTTGGTCTGAGCATTCTGGCCAGGAGCACCGCCCCTCTCTGCTTGGGTTCCGCAACCAACAAAAGTATCATCAGACGTATTTTGAGCGGTTCTCCTAGTGGTTCCTGCTAGGCTGTAACCAATGGTATTGCTAATGCGACCCCTTGCGACGAATGACCGAAGACTCGCACGCCGCCCAGCTGCTTGGCGTAATAGATTCATCCTAAGGTCTTCCGAGTCATCTGGATCTTGTAGACGCCATGAAGTAAGTCCCTGAGATTGTACCTGCCTCTTCTTTGCCCTGTTCGCCTTAGAGACAGGACCGCCCAGCTCTCAGCAACTGGCTCATGCACTACTGTGGAGAGGTCCTGCCCACGCTAGCTAACATATGAAATGTTAATAAGAGGAAGTTGCAGTGAAGTAGTTCTCAAACAAACAAGTCCCTGCATGCTTGTTGGAGCAAGCACCAGATAGGATGAATGTTTCTGCGCTGGGGCAAGACGACCTTAGCAAGCTCTACCAGAAAAGGCAAACTGGATATATTACATACCGAATTGCCTTCCCTGGTATTTGAAGGTCAAGCAGCGAAGTTACTTGAATGTGCATATTCAGCACTGCCGGGCCCAGGTGTAGTGGAGAGCGGGCCCTGCTGTTACTGCCTATGTACCCTATGTCTTCCCTACTGGGTCCAAACTCTAGATCCATACTCTAAGCACAGCCCATCTATACTATTTAGACTATATATTCAAGTAATCGTCCTTAAAACACATTCGAACCCAATAATATTAGGAGGGGAATCCAAGAATAATGACTCTCCCGGGTGACTCTGCAGTCAGTCAGAGTCTCAACCGCAGCATCAGTCTCACACCCAGCCCTAACCTGGTGTGGCTGCCGAGCATTCTTGAGTTGGTTATCTTAAATTTCTATCTAAACTATTACAATGTTCCTTTATTAGTGTCGTATTTGTCTCTTTCATCTAGCAAGGACTCTGAGGGTTCCACTAGTAAGGTTGTAGTGCCTGTGCACTACAACCTCCCCCCTGCCGGGACTCAACACAGCCTCCTTAGATTGTGTAAATTCCCAACTCCCTTTTTCTCTATTCTTCCTCTACCCCCTTCTTTGTGTTGGTATTGGGTTGTTCCACGGTCCTAGGGTAGTGGGGTTTGTACGATGCGTAATACTGCTAGGGCGCTTATTGGAATAATTATTATTATGTCTACTACTCTAATTATGCTTATTCATTTGTCCCGTTTTTTTCCTTAACTCTATCTATTTGTTTCTTTCTCCTTCTTCTCCTCTTTTTCTTTTCCTTTCTTTTTCTACCTCTCCTCTTAGTGATCCGCTTTTTGTGTCTGCGAACATGGGCAAGTTTCTCATCTATCTTCGTATGTGTGAGCCACCCCGTTGTGCAACCTGAGACCGATTGTGAGAGTAGTACGCGTGCGAGTGCACGGGCACTTTCTCCATCTCCTTTTGCGGAAAGACTGCCGACACGGCTGCAACTTTTGGGCCAATATCCTGCGTGCCTGCTCCGCAGGGGACCTGTGGCTCACCCCTAGAATGGTGCCCTTTTCTGGTGTGTCCACACTAGTTCGGAGAAGGTTGCCCATACCCGTCAACATTCTCGACGGTACTTGGCGTTTCGGTCTTCGACTGTTGTCGTTCGACTGCCTTTGACAGAATGAAACACCCCGAAGCCCCTGGATGAGAAAGCACCGTAGAAGGGATCTCAGCCCCCTACGCTCCGCGTACTCATGCTCTTCTCACATTACTAAACGCCCTCTCTTCACAAAAGTCTTCTCTTATACAGACCTCCTGCCACCACTGCGGTACTACATCACTTGCTTCTTGCCCTAACCCGCTTCTGCCAATAGCTGCGCCGAAAGCTTTGAGCAATCTTCTGTCTGAGGACTAAGAAAACTTCCCGATGATTCAGTAGCTAAGCGTGCCTCACATTTACGCCCAGCTAAATCTAATCATAGGGCTGCTCTTGATCCCACGCTACACATCATGCCCCCCTTCGTAGGGAGTTCTCCTACACAGATGTGTCTCCATCAAAGCGATACTACATCCTTCACCTCTTACCTATAGCCCTCTTCTGACGCCTCAGTTTGCTTGTTACTGCGTGTCTCAGTTCTTTTCCTGTCTCTTCTGGTTGTAACTTTGCTGACTTTGACTCACTCAGCCCAGCTGACGGCTGCTGGTACTCCTGTGGTTCGTTAGGTTCCACCTTAGGTAAATTCCTTGCACTCGTCAACTTCCTTCCCTAATCTGGAGAGACTGGAATGGGATTAGGCCCTGTCTCTACTGCGCAGATAACCCCTTTACCAAGACTAGACCTCCTAGTACGCCCGTCTCCCCAAAAGCCTAGGCTTCCCCGTTTAAACGCTCATTTCGTTCGGCGCCGAGACGTGTTGACTGTCTACTAGGGTCTTGCTTTGTCTCTATCATTTTTCTAACAAATGTTGTACAGTCTCTAGCACAGTTTTCCATGCCTCCACACATCATACACAATTCTTCTGCTTGCCTTAATGCCTCTTCGCGTGATGGACACTGTCGCGCATTGTGTCCCTTGCCCTTACATTCAAAACGTGCCGTATTCCGCAGTCCACGTTGTGCTAATGGAGTTACTCAGTTATCGTCCAACTGGTTATCACCATGGTTTGCTTCCCTCCGCTGACGCAGTTGTTGTACCATTATTCTGCATTTTCTCGCCGCGTCTAGTAGCTCGTTTCTCTTTCTACAACTTCCTTCAACGCTTCGGTAGCATTTTTCCAGGCCATTAAGGTTCTCTGCCCGTTCTCTGCCGGAGCTAGAAGAATATCATCAAGTAGATTGGCTTTGAATAAGCTCAGCGCATCTTCAGATGGAAGAGGTTCACCGTGATTAAATTCCGACAAAAATGCTGCCGCATAGCGTACAGGATTACCCTTACAAGGAACACCTGCTAAACGGATTATCAGATCTTCCCTTGATATCCCACAGAATTGGGTAAGCAATTCTTCTCTAACCTACTCCCAGTTCTCGAAGTCTGCTCCAGAGGCTCGTAGATGATACAAATGCTCGACAGCTTTCTCTACTAGGTACGTGCGTATCTCGTATCTCTTGTCCCCAGTCCTTCCGGTCTATACCGTCTCTCTCGTGTTCTATTTCCGCTGATTGCAAGAATGCTCTCATAGTATCGCCGTTTTCTGGAACTACCTTAACTTAATATTTCCGGTGACAACATGTCACCTGTGATCCAGAGCATCCTGCATCAGATCTGACGCAGTGATCAGAGGTTGTAGGTTGGGCAGAGTGACTCATGAACTGGGTCAGGAAATCTCTTCCAGGTCTCTCGTGAGAACTTCTCTAGATCGACAGGGTAGACTTCCCATCCTTCTCTGCGCCTTTTTTGCTGTTTGTCTCGTGTCACGGGGTTCTCTTCGCCAGTAAATCCTACATCTGTTTTCCACTTAGGTTCTTCCCGTTAAGTAGTAGCATGTGCGCAACTGACTCTGGGTATGCAGATCCCATACGCAAACGTGTGAGTAGCTCCCGTAGTTGTGCATCCACCAAGAAAACGAGATGTCTCAGGTTATAATTTCCCGGAACAGTCGCCCAATGTAGTGAACATTGGGCCCTGCTGTTACTAACTATGTACCTTATGNACCTTATGAGCGAATATCCGTCACTCCTCTCGCCTGATGCTTCCCCCAACACCGCAGCCAGTTGCTAAACACGTACATGGCACAGAAACGCCACCATGCACAAATGTAGGTGCACGCGAGTGCCGACATGCTCTGCTGCATCAAAATTAGTCCACCACTCCACAGAAGCGGGGGCTTGAAAGCCTTCCGCTGTTCTTCACACGTAATTTCAGCAGCATAAAAAAGAGGTTCGAATTCTTCCAGGCTAACGTTACTGCCTGATAATATTCTCTAGTTGCCTCGAGCATACAAGACAAGCACTGTAGTGAAGAGGGCTTTCTGCTGTTACTACCTAGATACCTCAAGTCAACGCTACTGGGTTCAAACCCTAAACACAGCCCAACAGCCATCTATACTATTAGGACTCGAATATGTTTTAAGGACGATCACTTTAACATTTGAGTCGAATAATATTAGGAGGGAAACCCAAGAATAACAATTATCCCTGGAGACTCTGCAGTCAGTCAGAGTCTCAACCACAGCATCAGTTATCACACCCAGCCCTAAACTGGTATGGCTGCCGAGTATTCTTGAGTTGGTTATCTTAAATTTCTATCTAAAGTATTACTATTTATCTTCATTAGTATTGTACATCTAACAAGGTTCCTGAGGGTTCCACTTGAGCTCTATTGTAGTGGCCGTGCACTACTTGCACCGATCACCTTGCATTCCTGCTGCATGTATCCAGCGCAGACTCGGATGCAAGAATCACATAACGAGGCCCAACACTCCGATTAAAACGCTATGGAGAGGGGAAAAGCTTTTTCAAATTCAGATTTCCAGGCATTTCCGAGCTTCCATGCATGCTGCGAAGCTGTGTGCCATGCCATATCCGGGCCCCAAGAACAGTCAAAAGTGCCTTGCTATTACTCGACAGAGGCCATTTGCTAGCAAATTAGGCCGGCAAGGGTGTAATAACTTGCTTATATATCTCCTGTTTCCCTTGGCCTCTTCCCCGAGTCTCAACGCAACTGCAGAGCCCGTCGATACATACTGATCCCTTTTCTCTACCATTGCGAACTCCAAACTGGGGGCACATTCTGATGTTAAAGGCAACAAAGAGGGCAACCAAGCATACGCATACGAGCGAGGAGTGTATTGCAAGCTTTCTCGAGGGAAACAACAGTAGACAGGGGAGCCCATCGGCAACCAAGACCAATCAGCGGGCGTGTTTAGACGCTGCAAACAGACTTCGGCCAAAAAGGCGATCCATTGTGGGAATGCATCAGCGCGGGCGCCGAATTGGTATAGTGCCAAGGCGGCCCCCAGTTCTTACGGAGAATGCACACTGCGTTGCACTGAAGGACGCGAGTTCCAATAGGGGCGACACGGGAAATCCTAGGGGCGTGAAGCGCTTATATGCTGACGACGAAGAAGGAGGAGCCTTTTTATGGGGGTGTAGCGTGGCAACTACAAATGACCAAAATGGAGTTCAGAAGCTGCTTGAAAGGGGTGATCCAATGCCTCCCATTGTGGAGCGGCAACTCGGTAGCAGTTGTTTGATCTCGGAAAGTCCTTTCCGTAAAATCATTTGTCATCCCGATTCAGACGGCGCTGAGGAGGCCGAAATTCGTGCGGAGATTCTGAATGGCGTCCGCCAGCTACTTCGAGATGAATCGGAGGTTGATTGCCTTGTACGGCTGTGCGCTCTTCTAAAGGAAAAGAATACTGCGTTACTAGAGCGTGCTATTCACCGCAGAGGCGTTGCAGAATGCGCAGAATTGCTTGAGGAAACTTTGGTAAGTAGCGAAATGCAGTTGTTCAAGCACCGTGACACCCGAGCGGTAGCAAATAGTTTGGCAGGATCTCACCCGTGGTGCTGATACTGCAAGCGCATTATATACATTTGTTCTGTTTACTGTGCCTTAGCAAATCGAAGCCAGTGGCGGAATGCTGACAAAGGATGGACGTCGTCGCACGCCAGGAGGCGTCTTTTTGCGTCTTCTACAGGACAGGTGAGCAGACGAAGCACGTAAACTTTCCTTCGGCGCGTGTAGAAGAGCACTGTCGACCGTGAGGCCTCCAGGTCAGGACAGTAGGATTATTCGAACTATTTGCACCATACGGTGTGAAACCCAGGCAGTTCCAGCGGCAGGACCGCCCGCGAATATTGTGGCTCGATAAAGGACTAGAGCATGTGCGTGGACCGACGCAGGATTCCTCGAGAAGACAAGCGATTTATATGGGATGAGCAGAACAGGGAGCAGAGGAGGCTTAAGCGGCAGCGGATTCGCAGACAAAGAACTGCAGAAGCGGACGTGTGGTCACACACAGAGCGCACGGAGACAGCTGTGTCGTCAGCACCAACCCTGCATGAAACCTCGCTGACAGAGTGCGAGGAGCGAGAGCCTGGAGAGCTTGATGATGCTGAAATCCGTGCTCTTGACGAACAGTTAAAGTAGTCCAACAACTGTTCCTACACTGCAAAGTGCAAGAATGAGCAAGGGTTCTCTAGCTCCCCCGATGCTTGCCTGTGTTTCCATTCCAGAGGCAGCAGCCCAGCGACCGTTGTGACGGTCAAGGGGGTTGAATAGTGCAGTTCGTCACACAGAGACAGACACTTGGAACGCTAATGTAGTGCGCAGGCACTGATGACCCTGCCCAACGGGTTGGGTGGGGTTGAATTAATGTGGTGTTCGACTTATGGTGATGAGACTGTGGATGTATTTGCGTAAGGCGTTTTTGGCAATGCACGTGCAGTGAACTTGTCGGGATCATGTAGAAGACGCAACTGAATCGGACTGATCCAACGGTTGCAGTGGTGGAGGTCACAATTGAGAAAGGATAGCGCAAGCTTTAAACGTTCAGGGGCATTAGTTTGGCGAGGCTTGGGCACTGCACTGGGAGGCAAATTCCACCAGTTGCTGGCCATGCTCTCGTTAGCTTCACATCACCCTTGATCTTTTGGGGATGTCGACTGCCAAAAACAAAAAAAATCACTCCTGGCCACAGACTGAGCCAGCTTCATTGCGTCGTGCTATCCGCCGGCACTGCCTTTCGGTGGTGCAAGAGTTCTTTTGTCAGGTGCGTGAGGGACTTCACCAAAAGCAGAGCGCCGAAGAACATGACTGGGTACTCGGCCGCTCCAATGACCTGCGATCGCACAAGGATCAGAGGCATTGAAGCATAGTAAACGATCGCAGTCAATGTAGCGCAGCGCCACTTGAGCTCTAACACACTTCCGATGATTGGGCAATGCAATCGTGGCAAACGATTATGGCCATGACACAGCATAAATACAATAGCCTTTGCCTTGCCTCGCGTTTGCTTACCGACAATTTCTTTCCAGGAAGGCTGGACTGCGCGATTGCCAAAGCAGCAGAGAGAGCTAACGTCATATTCAAGATTGCCCCCGTTACGGAGAGCTCTGCTTCAAACCTGACGAAGAACACGCAGTTCAGGGTGCATCGTCAAACAAAGACGGGCGCCAGAGGCAGCTGCAAGTGCTTAAAAAATTGTGCGTGTAGGGGGTTGCCGCGTAAGCGCGGGTACCTTATTTGGTCTTAACTAGTTTCTGTTGGAACAGCCGATGAGCAACCTTCCAGCGCCTTCCCCCCTGACTTACCGGACTGCTCGACTGTTGATGCTCTTCGCAATATGAAATTTCGGGTTCCCAAGGAGGGTGAATAGTAGACACGCCCCCATTCCGAAAGATAATACTGTGATCAAGCCATTCGAAGCATCCCTCGGAGCAAGTATCTTTCCTGTATAGATGCTAAACGCGCTCATTGCTGACGCGCATGCGCCGCAGCCAAACTCACACACTGAGAGAATAAGGATGCACACAGAGTCGCGGCCGTTATCTGTACCTGCAAAACGCACACAAAGTAAACATAGGTGGCTTTGCGAGCTGACCCTGAACGACTCGGGCACAACCGTGGGCGGTTTCAGGAAGAAAAACAGGACAGTTTTGAAGACGCTCACCTTGGTTTAGCTTGGAAACAGAGCACAGCCTCCAGAGCAGGCAGATAGGGGGGGCAACGAAGAAGAGGTGGAACTCGCAAGCAAGCAGCAGAAGGGACACACGTTGAAGACGGTGAGGCATCCAGGGGTAATCCAGACCCGGTCTGTGAACACATGCAGACTCTACGCGCCTTCCTCAATCCATTCCGAAGTGGTGAACGGAGCTATCAGCATTTTTGCTGCCGCTCTTATGTTCGTTCCGGTGGGGGGGGGGGGNGGGGGGGGGGGTCCGGGAATAAGAACGCACTTTATACAGAAAGACGCCAAGAGTGAAGCAAGAATAAGACCCACTGCCAAGTTGAACACCAACAGGCACTGAGCATTCCGGATATATCTCTTTCTTTGGGTCGTTTTCTCCCATGAAGAGATGTCGTCGGGGTGAACATTTTCAGGAGCTGCTCTGCCGTCCTCCAGCAGGCGAGCGTCCGCATCTACATCCTGTACGCTGCTCATCATCATTGGGCAGAGTGTCCGTCTGCTTATGCATCCACACTGTAACAGCCTCTGTCAATAAGACGACAGTAGTTTGCTGGTTGGAAGGCTTTTCGGCGAGACTGCGCACCTCCGAACGGAGGCGATTCAAAGTCCAAGTTAGTTGACAAGGCAAAGCACTGTAGTCTTCTCGCAGTGGAGACACCTCAACAATTCACGTGTTGACCTGGTAGGGCCCCAGAATCGCACGGAGTGTGCCTTCTTCACGAGGTAGCCGTCGGCTCGCCGCAGACAAGTATCTCCACAATCTCGTACCTCCAGTGTAGCACACAATCTCTATATTTGTCACGCGGAAAGAGATATTTTCTAAAAAGAAGGCGATAAAAGCATATTGGAGCGAAAGGCCCGAGAGCAAGCCCAGATGGGCTCAAATACAGTGGTGAGTTGTTGAAACATTAGAGGCTACAAGTGCGCATACGATACAAAAGTTCTAGACTTTGCATCTTTCAACAAAAGTCGGTTCAACAAGTTAAATGAAGGCGGTGGGTGAGCTCAGATGTTTCCGGTGAGACAATCGG